CAACGAACTGCTGCTGCTGCCTCAGAGGATTTACCTTCCTCTGTTCCTATAGACCCTTCCACTCCAGTCTTCTCTCAAACCGACGTTGCAGCCATGTTTCAACATTTTTTGCAGAATTCCGGTACTCCTCCATCTACTGCTTTGTTTGTCACCGCAGGTAACACTTCTTGGTACTTTGACTCTGCTTGTTGTAATCACATGACTTTTGACCCTACTATTTTTACTCCTCTATCTTCTCCTCCTCATGTTCCTTCTATCCATACTGCTGATGGGTCTCTTCTGTCTGTAAGTCATGTTGGTTCTGTTTCAACCTCTCACTTATCTTTATCCCATGTCTATCTTATGCCTGCTCTTACTTTAAATCTTATCTCCATTAGTCAATTATGTGAGCATGGTCTAACTGTTACCTTTTCCCGTACTGGTTGTTTGGTGCAGGACCCTCGGACGGGGAAAACTCTTGGGATAGGCCGTAAGCATGGACGTCTCTACGAACTCATCCATCTTCATGTTCCAGATTCCTCTCAGATCACAGCTCCTACCACAGCTACCACTGCTCCTCTTTTATCTCCTTTTCAGCTTTGGCATTGTCGTTTAGGCCATTTTTCTGTTGGTCGTTTAAAATCTCTAATTTCCAGTGGTCATTTAGGTCATGTAAGTTCTGATGTTTTAGATTGTGTGTCCTGTCAACTTGCCAAACAACCTGCTTTGTCGTTTAATAAAAGTGACTCTGTTTCTCTTGCACCATTTGATCTCATTCATTCTGATATTTGGGGACCTTCTCCTACTCCTACTATGGGAGGTGCACGCTATTTTGTTGTTTTTATAGATGATTTTTCCCGTTTTACCTGGTTGTTTCTTATGAAAAATCGCTCTGAGCTCAAACAACTTTATTACAATTTTGCTACAATGGTTAAAACACAATTTTCTAAAACTATTAAGCTTTTTCGCTCCGACAATGCCATGGAATATAAAGATTTTGACTTTCTTTCCTTTCTTCAGAGTCATGGTACTCAACCTCATCGTTCCTGTCCCGGTACGTCTCAACAAAATGGACGTGCTGAACGGAAACATCGACATATTCTTGGCACTACTCGAGCTCTCCTTTTGTCTTCCTCTTGTCTGGAACATTTTTGGGGAGAGGCAGCTCTCACTGCTGCTTACACTATCAATTGTATCCCTACACCTGTCATTCATAATCACACTCCTTATGAACGTCTGCATGGCACCCGTCCCCCTTACACCAACCTTAGGGTCTTTGGATCTGCCTGTTTTGTTCTTCTTCAACCTCATGAACGTACCAAACTTGAACCACGTTCTCGCCTTTGTTGCTTCTTAGGGTATGGTATTGAACACAAGGGGTATCGTTGTTGGGATCCTCTATCCCAGCGACTCCGTATCTCTCGTCATGTCATCTTTTGGGAACACAAAATGTTTTCCTCTCTCTCTCTCTTCCGTTTGTCCGTTCCCTCACCCTCTCTGTTTTTTACTGACCCTTCCACGGATCTGTTCTCTGATGAGCTTACTTCACCGCCCTTGCCGGCCTCTCTCAAGTCCTCTGATGAGCTTACTCCACCGCCCCTACCGGCCTCTCTCGAGACTGTCTTGCATTCTGGTCTGTCCCATGCCCCTGCTACCTCTGATGGTCCTGCTCTTGCTCCCTCGGGATCCTCCCCTCCTGGTGAGTCTCTCCCTCTGGCTCCTCCTGCCTCTACTCGACCACACTGGGTAATCCAACCTTCCACTCGTCTTCATGACTTTATTGTTGGTTCTACTGTTTTTCTACTTATGAACCGACCTCCTATCGTGAGGCTCGCTCTAATCCTCTTTGGCAGCAAGCTATGACTGATGAATTGCAGGCTTTAGACAAAACTCACACTTGGGACAATGTTGATCTTCCTCCTGGCAAGACTGCCATTGGTTGCAAATGGGTCTACAAAATCAAAACTTGCTCTGATGGTACTATTGAGCGCTACAAAGCCCGCCTTGTTGCAAAAGGCTTCAACCAAGAATATGGTATTGACTATGAGGAGACCTTTGCTCCTGTTGCTCGTCTCACCTCTGTTCGCAGCCTGATTGCGGTTGCTACCACCCGACACTGGGATCTTTATCAAATGGACGTGAAAAATGCTTTCCTTAATGGTGTTCTTCTTGAGGAAGTCTACATGCAACCTCCCCCTGGGTCTACTTGTCCACCTCATAAAGTCTGCAAACTTCAGCGTGCTCTATATGGTCTCAAACAAGCTCCGCGCGCTTGGTTTGCCAAGTTCAGCTCTACTATTCATGACTGTGGTTTCACCTCCAGTTCTTATGATACTGCTCTTTTCATCCGGAACACCGCTCAAGGGACCACCTTGCTTCTTCTTTATGTGGATGATATGATTATCACCGGTGACGATCTTGATGGTATTGTATGCCTCAAACAGTTTCTTAGCCATCATTTCGAGATGAAAGATCTTGGTCCTCTCAGCTATTTCTTGGGTCTTGAAATCTTCCATGATTCCACGGGGTCTTTTCTCTCTCAGGCTAAGTATACCTCTGATCTTCTCACCCGCGCTGGTCTTACGGATTGCAAGACTGCCTCCACTCCCCTGGAGCCTCAGAGTCGTCTTACACCTCTTGATGGCACTCTTCTCTCTGATGCTACCCTATATCATCAGCTGGTTGGCAGCCTTGTCTATCTCACTATTACTCGTCCTGATATTGCCTATGCCGTTCATATTGTCAGCCAGTTTATGTCGGCTCCTCGTACCCCTCATTATGCTGCCTTAGTTCGTATCCTTCGTTATCTCAAAGGTACCTTGTTTCATGGACTTCATTATTCCGCCCGCTCCTCTCTCCAGCTTCGTGCTTTTTCCGATGCTGATTGGGCTGGGGATCCTACTGACCGGCGCTCTACTACCGGGTTCTGCTTTTTCTTGGGTGATTCTCTTATTTCTTGGCGCAGCAAGAAACAATCTCTTACTGCTCGCTCCAGTACTGAGGCTGAATATCGTGCTCTTGCTGATACTACTCAGGAACTTCTCTGGCTTCGTTGGCTTCTTGCTGACATGGGTGTTTCCCCCTCTGGCGCTACTGCCCTCTTTTGTGACAATCAAAGTGCTCTTCAAATTGCTCACAATGATGTTTTTCATGATCGCACCAAGCACATTGAGATTGACTGTCATTTTATTCGTCAACACGTCACTCATGGTACTGTCCATCTCCATCCAATCTCCTCTGCTGATCAACCTGCTGATATCTTCACCAAAGCCCATTCTCCTGGCCGCTTCGTTGAACTTGTCTCCAAACTCCAGTTGGTTGATGTTTGTCCTCCTTGAGTTTGAGGGGGCTGTTAATATATGAATATAATTGTATATGAATATAATATAATACTATATCTGTTAATATATTATAGTATAGAAACCAATTATAGCATGTATATAATATCAAAAGATAGGATTCCCTTTGTCCCCGCTTTCGGTCGTCCGCCATCTTTCGGCCCCTTTTTCTTATTATATTAAATTGTATCATCATGATGTTTTTGTATCCAGCTCCTATGTTATGGAGCCTCTATCTTGATTCTGAATATGGAGTTTACATTACAGAATTCTCTTTCAATACTACTCTCTCAATTTGTCTTTCAGTACTAATCCAACAACTAACTGCTGTGCTAACTTTCGCCAGTAAAAAAACACAGAAAAAAGAAAACACAGTAAAGATATAAAGATATAAATACGTTTAAGGATATAGTAGAAGCAGAGTTAGAGATATATATATATATATATATACCAGGACGAGGACGAGGAGGAGGTTCAGGAGAGCTCAGTGACTGTGTTCGAGGAGCAGGGGCAGGTTGGCAAGCCCTCCCAGAACCGCGGCGCCCTGGAATTCTTCCCCTACCTCTATCAGAGATTTCGCCAGAATCCTGCCTCGTAGGTCTCACTCTTGGGGGCGGCCGCATGTAAGGGCCACGCTGGCCCTGAACTGGCCGAGGGCCCCACTGCTGAGGAGGTGGTTGTGGTGGTTGGAGAGTAGCAGTGTAAGTGCCTCCTCCTCCTTGGCCCCCACCATGATACTGGTGGTGGTGGTGGTTGTGAGTTTGGTAACGAGGGAGAGAAAAAGAGAGGAACTGAAAGTTGGTGTAATTGTATTATGTTTCAATATTATTACAAGAGAGCAAGCTCCCTCTCTTTATAGAGAGGAGAGGGAGACAATTAGCATTGGATGCCTGGAATTTACAGCTACACATGGAGCCTTTACAGATGCAAGGTTGCCTAAGGTTGCCTTTACAGATGCAAGGATACAGCTATACATAGTGGGGGATATATTATATGTATATTATATGTTAACAGTGGTAATGCTTCTGTTGATCGGCACTACCTCCTCGGTCACAACCGCCACTACCACGACCATGAGGAGTTCGTCGGCTGTAGTTGGCTCCTCCTCGCTCCATTGTTGTGTTGTGCCAGCAAATGCTCCGTACCACCCCTCCTTTTCTCTCTCTCTCTCTCTCTCTCTCTCTCAAGCTCTGTATACTATTTGTATATATACGTAATCACTAACAAAAAAACACTAGTTGACAGAAGATATAGTATTAGTATATATACGTAATCACTAACAAAAAAACACTAGTTGACAGAAGATTAACACTGGTGAGAGAGAGAGAGAGAGAGAGAGAGAGAGAGAGGGGAAAAAGCAAGGTGACTTGGGCGTCTTTACTTTATAGGCACTTGGCACAACAGACTGGAATTGTGTACTCCTCGTAGTAGTAGTAGTAGTGGAGAAGTCAGACAAAAAACCCCTGACGTGGTGGGTGGATAGAATTGAGTCAACGTCCTGGGAAGGAAAAAAAAATGATATACTAGCCATATACTGTACATGTTTGTTAAAATTGGAATAATCGATGGAGATTTGGTACAAGAGAAGGATCGATGAAACGGAGGCTGTTCCTGTGAGGGAGATAGAGAAAGTGAAAGTGGTGGTGAGGAAAAGATGGCACAACTTATGCTAAAATTTTGATTTCTTCAGTGTGGGGTTTCTAGCGTGGGGTTGACAGAGGGAAATGATATCAATAAATTAGGTTGCTATTCAATATCAAAATTTAAATTTATTTATCAAATCTAATGATGTGATAATCAATTAAAATATTAGAGACGATACTCTCTTTTATCTCTCATTTTTTTATTATTTTCTAATTATCAATCAATTATATTACTTATGCACCATTAAATTTAAAAAATAGAGATATATATTATTTTCCTCAAATCAATCCAAACCAAACTTAAAACACAAATTGTAATGTCCAACTAGTTTACTTTATTTTATGGACTTCACACAACACAACAGCTTAAAGTCCAACAAGGCCTAAAGCTTCTACTGATTAAAGGGCCAATTTTTTGTTTGCCCCATAAAACATTTGACACCAATCTTCGGCTGCCCAATCCAACCTCAAGTATGTGAAGCCTTTCAAATTAAGCCCATAAAACTTTTCATGTTTTGGCCCAATCAAATTAAGTATTGGTAGGCGCGTAAAAATGGCCAACAGCCCGTAGTTTGCCTGTGGCTCGGGTTGGGCCTGATCCATTTAGGCCCGTTTGGGCCCGAGCCCGAGTCCAATCCGAGACCTTAGGCCAAGCCTGAGCCATCATTTTGAAACCCGGCCCATCGGCTCGTTTAAAGCCCACTCAAGGCCTGGCCCGAGGCCCGTCCCGCCCGAGACTCAATATTTTTTTTAGTGAAAAATAATAAAATTTTGATAGAAAAAAAAATGTTTAGGCCCTCCCAAGCCCACTCCAAGCCCATCAGTCCGCCCAAGGCCCAAATATCTCTTGGGCTTGGGCCTAATTTTCTGTCTCGTGGGCCAGCTCGGCTCGGCCCAAATTTTGGCAGGAGTCCACGAGGCCCGACATGGGCCGGCCCGAGCCAAATTTACACCCCTAAGTATTGGGGAAGTACTACAGCATAACACAACCTATTTAACGACAATGTTGGGTGTGAATATGGTTTGGATTGATATGATTTAGTAGTCAATCAAGGATCAAATCGTTACTTACTATTTCTTGAAATTTAAAATTAATATAAATCATGAAAACTAGAAATTAAATCATACCGAATGAGTAAAATGAGATTCAATTCCATTTGTTACCATGAATTTTAAAAATTTTATCATTATTCATAATATAATTACAAATTACTGTTCACAAAATAAAAATTATTTAAATTAGTTCTACCATTATACAAGAATATGCTTACAAGAGTCGGAGGTGACAATGTCTATATATATTTGATACTAATAAAATATTTAAATATTTATAATAATTGATAAATTATATATATATATATATATATAAATGGTTTGATTTGGTTCTAAACACAATCCGTAATTGTTAGGTTCCTTATTTTATCAATTCTACAAACAAACACGTTTGGATTGTAATATTGTTGAGTTTTGATTGTGGCTTGTCATCCTTCTTCAGCCTCAGAACATGCTTTTTAGCTTGTCAATTTACACAAACGAAACAGTTTGCGCTCGAGCACAAAATTCGATCATCTAATATCTCAAGTCCTGTTATGAGATTATGAAAGATTGTACTCACCGATCGAGAGTGCACTCTTGAGCTCGAGCGAAGTGACAAGTGTTCAAGTTTGTTATAACCGCCTCTTAGGCACACCGCTCGAGTAGTCATTCCTACGGTTGAGCAATTTTCACAACCTTATTTGCTTTAAATAGTCTCAGATGTACAATTCAGACCTCTTTTATATCTCAAGCTCGAAACCTAAGAAATCTTGAATTTTCATCTAAAGAGAGTTTATTGATTTTCCCTTGATGAATTATTGAGATTGTTGCCTCACATAAATTGAATTGAAGACATCAAGGGGTTTGGATTAAATCAACCTTTCAAGTGCATTCAATCCGTGGAATCTAGACTGAGTTGGAGTTTGTGAATTCAAGCTCAACAATGGACAATCCTGGATGAAGAGTGGGCAATGAAGATGTACTAGAGTCTCCAAGTGCTCATGTGGATTCATAGGTGATACGACTTCGTGAGACCTCTTGTAATCTTTATAATCTCTTTTTAGTGGATTTGTTCACCCTTCTAAGATCATGATTTTTTTAACACAATTCGTTTTGTTTAATTGTTATATTTTTTCACATTAAATCATTGTGCCTTATTTGTTAATTGCTTAGGCACCGTTTGGCAAGAGAGATCTGGGCTAATTTAGCCACTACAGTCCAAAATTGGCTAAATTAGCCACAAACCGACAAAAACACATTCAGGGGCATAACTTACATACAAGGAGGGGTGAAATTACCAAATTATCCCTGGGTCAGTGTTTACACCATCACACCCTCGAAATGTGTCTATCAAACTCTACACCCCGAGTGCCCTCTCATCATCTAGGGTTTTATCTACTCCAAACCACCTCTTTTTCCTCTCAAAACCCTCAATCCAGACCATTACCACATCCAAAACGACGTCGATTCGAATGGGCGGCGGTCCTCGAACCTTCCTTGGCGGTGTATCAAAGTGGCAGTGGAAGCGCATGCAGGCGAAAAAAACCCAAGCAGCTCCTCCAGGCCCGCCTAGCCGGTGAGCGCCAGATCTACGAGATGCGGAAGCGAGCGGAGCTGAAGGTGGCAGTGTCAGAGCTTGAGCGGCCTTGGGAGGTGGTGGAGGCGAGAGCTCCGACGCTTTTCTCAGTCAAAGCCAATGAGCAAGAGAAGGTTTTGGTGGATCGGTTTCAGAGGCCCGATGGGTTCGATTTGTGGTCCGAGAGAGATGGTCCACAGTTACTCTCGTTCGTTGATGGAGTCCCCTCGGCTAGGAGATACCCTTAATCCCAAAAATAACCATAGAGATAGCCTAATCCCAAAATAGCTCATAAAAAAATAAAAAAATAAATAAATAAATTTCCAATGATGCTGACCTGGAGCAGAGAAATGAAGAGTTGACATTCTTAAAATCACTTCAAGGGCATTTTGGTCATTTATCATGAACACACCTCACCAAAAAGTCAAAAAGTCAAAAAGCAAAAAAAGCTAAAAAATCCTTCTCAAACCAGGCTTTTTAGCCCCATGCTAAAATAGCCAAAAAACCAAAAAGCCAACCCACTTCCCAAACGGAGGCTAAATCACTTTCATATTGACTAAATAATTTAAATTATTATCTAATTTAAAAATTAAATTTGATTGATATTTATTAACTCATAAATCATAAATTACATCACTAACCAGTTTTCACTAACTATAAACTAAGAGGCTTACATGTTTTGCTGACAAGGTGACAGCTTTGTTCCACATAGCCATAAGGGTACATGTTGCTCTTTTCAGTGAAATCTGTTGGAACAAATCGTCTTGAATTCTTCAATTGGTAGTCTTCGGGTCTTCAAAACTTGGCAATGAACTTGTCTATGTAGAACATAAATATGATGCTTCAAGTCGCATTACTTAGTCGCTTTCCTAAAGATAATATTTGCATCCACCAAAAGGTGTGTAGGGGTTACAGCAAATCCGCCTCTAGGATACAATGAAGCCTGATCTAAAGATCAAGTCTACCGACATCTGCACTAACGACAGCATATCAAAATACTCTTGATATAATCAAGAAAACCAAGACACTAATAATCAAATCTGTAGAACTTGATTACTAGTAAGAAAAGCAGAAATTTGCTTAACAAACTCTTGATCGAAAACTCAAAAATCAAGAGAGAGAGAGAAAGAGAATTGCAGGAATGCCACTGGATTTTTTGAATGGAATAGAAGGCTGATTTCGCAGCCTATTTATAGGCCTTGATAGATCTGATCGAATGGCCATGTCCCTTGATCTCATTCGATTAGATCTGACCGTTGGATCAACGATCTACGGTGCAAATCATTCTCACACCGAATAGATGCCTCGACTAATCACACTTGATCACGATCGGGTGCCATCTCATCCGTACGATCGCGCACATCTCCAATCAACAACTATGATCAAATCGCTCTAGATCGGACATACAACCGTTCGATCAGTTGGTTGACTCACCGCCAATAGACGCTACATCACTGCCACGTGGAGCTGACTATATTCCACGTCACCCATGCTTCGTTGGATCTATGTCATTGCTCCAACCTGTTTGATACAAATAGGAAAGCATCTTCATGGCGCCAATGTGTCCGTGCAAAGTGCAAAGTGCGCCATCAAACGCCACACAGCCCATTGCCCACGCCATGCACGCGCACGCGTATGCGTGTGCGGATGGTGCGAAGCACCATTCTTGCAGTGTGAGTGCATGTACACTAGCATTCATCCCATAATACCATATTTAAAGAAATATTCCATGTAACACTTTAAGTGCTCCATGTTTTTCTCTTTTTCCGATGTGGGACAAAGCCCCAAGCTTATTTCATGTTTTCCAAAGAAAAACATGAAAGGTTTTGAAAACACCCAAAAATAAACTATAAATTTGAAAACCCATTTTGAAAATTTCCCAACATTCCCCTACCATTTTCAAAATATCAGATGATGATTATTGGTTCACATGGCAGCCTTATGCATAGGTGAGGATATCTTACGATTTGGATCATTCACTAATTGAAGACATCTCAAAGTTAGTCAAGATGGCATAATAGACTTGTCTTTGAATTAGCGATTTTATACGACTAACCGGACATGTCTCACGCATAGTACAGGTTACCTCAAGTATTCAAACAGACCAACACGTGGATTGGCCTTGTGTCTATATTCTGTTTCATGAGCGTTCCAGAGTCAAGCCCTTAGACTCATAGGAAGCGGCACCACCTCCTACACTCACATAGGTAAGCATACTAAGAGTACCCCTGTAATTTACAGTACCCTAACAACTCAGTTGTAAGCTTATTAAGAATTTGCTAACTCATCCTCTTCTTTTCACATTACAGGTACCAAGCACTTCAACCTTGGGATAAAAATGAAATAAAACTAAGTACTTGCAATCACGACATATAGTGCACTTGGGCTCATTGAACTCAAGACTTGATATTTCTTCAAGCGTTAAGTCAAGTTTCCACTAGGAGTGATTATATTAAATGGGCTTAAGGCCCATCTCCTTTGATGTTTTCTACACCAGATCCCTTTCAAGTCCTTTTGTTAAGGGGTTAGCCAAGTTTTCACTTGACTTTACAAAACTAATGGTAATCACACCTTTTGTGATTAATTGCCTAACAAAGTTATGTCTCAGTCCTATATGCCTGGACTTTCCATTATAGACATGGCTATAAACCCGTGATAGAGTTGTTTTGTTATCACAATGCAAAGATATTGGTGGCATAGGTTTTGGCTATATCTTAATCTCTAACAAAAGATTCCTTAGCCACTCTGCCTCTTTGCTATAAGAAGCCAATGCTACAAACTCTAAAGCCATGGTTGAGTCTGTTATGCATGTTTCCTTCTTAGGACCCCAGGAAATAGCTCCTCCTCCAAGAGTAAAAATCCAACCACTCGTGGACGAGTGATCTTCACGGTCAGTTATCTAACTAACATCCGTGAATCCTTCCAGCATTGCTGGATAGCCATTATAGACTATTCCATAGTCTATTGTTTTCCTCAAGTACCGAAGTACTTAGTTAACAGCATGCCAATGCACACTACTGGGATTACTAGTGTATCTACTAAGTTTTCCCTTTGCGAATGCAATATCAGGTCTAGTGCAAGTCATGGCATACATCAGGCTATCTATTACTCTTGAGTATTCTAACTGATCAACAACTCTTCCAGTATTAGGATACAATTTTAAATTTGAATCAAAAGGTGTAGACATAGGTGTACAATTATATTAATTAAATTTCTTAAGAATTTTCTCAATATAGTGCGACTGGGTTAGAATCAAATTATTGTCCTCTCGTTTGATCTTAATACCCAGAATTACATCAGTCAAGCCCATGTCTTTCATACTAAAGGTAGACGACAACAAACTTTTAATACTTTTAATGACATCATTGTCAGTACCAAAAATAAGCATGTCATTTACGTATAGACATATGATTACACCTCTATTGCCAGTAAACTTACTGTATACACAATTATCAGATTCATGTATCCTAAAACCATTTGACACTATTACTTTGTCAAATTTCTCATGCCATTGTTTTGGAGCTTGTTTCAGTTCATATAGTGACTTCACGAGTTTACACACTTTGTGTTCTTGACCCTATATAACAAACCCTTCCGATTGTTGCATGTAGATTTCCTTATCCAACTCTCCATTTAGAAAAGCGGTTTTAACATCCATTTGATAGATTTCAAGCTTGTAGATTGAGGCCAAGGCAATCAACACTCGAATGGTGGCAATTTTGGCCATCGGAGCATATGTATCAAAATAATTGATACCCTCTTTTTGAGTAAAACCCTTAGCAACTAATCTTGCTTTGAACTTGTCAATTGTGCCATCAACTTTCATTTTCCTTTTGAAAATCCATTTACAACCAATTGGTTTGGATCCAGGTGGAAAATCAACAAGTATCTAAGTATTGTTACCCATGATAGAATCCATCTCATCGTTTATTGTTTCTTTCCAGAAAGCAACATCTTGAGATTTCATAGCCTCCTCGAAGGTTAATGAATCTGAATTCATATTCAAAGAAATCATTGTTTGCTTACAACAAGCTTTCCCAGTTCCTTCTACAAGGTAAATAATGAAATCAGGGCCAAATGACTTCTCGATCCTAGTCCTCTTACTCCTCCTTAGCTTAATAGGCTCATTAGGTTCATTAGGCTCAATGGGTTCATGTCGTTCACTTTCTTCTGTAGACATCAAAGGAGTTGACTCATTTTCTTGATTAGAATCCAACCTTGGAATGCTTGTGAAATGATTCTCATAAAATACCGCATCACGTGATTCAATGATGCTATTTGTTTCCATTGAACCACTAGGCTCTACTACCAGAAACTTATATGATTTGCTATGCATAGCATAGCCAAGGAATATGCATTCAATTCTTTTTTCACCTAATTTCTTCCTTTTAGGTTCAGGCAATCTGACTATTGCTCTACAACTCCATGTTTTTAAGTAACCAAGATTAGGTTTCTTGTTTTTTCAAAGTTCATAAGGAGTAACATTTCTTCCCTTGAGAGGAATTCTATTGAGTATGTGACAGACAGTGAGTAAGGTTTCACCCCAAAAATCAAAACTAAAACTAGAGTAAGAAAGCATAGCATTTATCATTTCTGTTAATGTCCTACTCTTTCTTTCAGCTACTCCATTTTGTTGTGGTGTGTAGGGTGCAGACTTCTCATGAATAATACCAACATTTTCACAATATTCTGGAAAATGGTATTCACTGCCTCTATCAGACCTAAGTCTCTTTATTTTGACATTACACCGATTTTTCACTTCTGTCTTAAAAATTTTGAATTTATCAAGCACATCATCTTTTGAATGCAAAAGATAGATATGATAGTACTTAGAAAAATCATCAACGAATGTTACAAAAAATCTCTTACCACCTCTAGTTAGGGTACTATGCATGTCACATACATCACTATGCACAAGTTCAAGTAGAGATGTGATTTTATCTACTTTAGGAAATGAAATGCGAGTAATTTTATATTGCACACAAAATTTTCATTTTTCAAATATATCATTCTTATACTTAGGAATTAAATCTAAATTAATCATATCATGCAATTTCCTAATATTAACATGACCTAAACGAGCATGCCATAAAGAAAGAGAATCAGCAATATAAACAGAAATAGATGTATTATTGATAACGTTAAGTTTGAACATTCCTTGATACATGTAGCCCTTCCCAACAAAAATCCCATCCTTGGACAGGACAAATTTGTCCGACTCAAATACTAACTTGAAATTATGATTATTAAGCAGGCTTCCAGATACAAGATTTTTCCTGACATCAAGTACATGATAAATATCACTAAGACTTAAGACTTTTCCAGATGTGAACTCTAAATCCACCGTCCCTTTGCCTTTGATAGCAGTAGTTGAAGAGTTGCCCATGTAAAGAACTGTTCTATCACTCACTTGTTCATAAGTAGTGAAACGGCTCTTGTCGTTGTAGACATGTCTTGTTGCTCTTGAGTTAATCCACCAATCACTAACATCTTCGAGCATGTTCACCTCAGATATAACAGCCACGAACTTGTTCTTGGCATTTGATGCTTCTGGCTTCATCTTGTATGACTGGCATTCATTTTTGAAGTGCCCTGGCTTGCCACAATGCCAGCAAGCGTTTTTTGGCTTCTTAGGTTAAGGTTTATGCTTATGCTTCTTTTTGTTAAACCTCTTGCCATCATCCACCATGTGGATCTTGGAAGTCCGAGCCAATTGATTATCTTTACCTTCAAGAAGCCTTGACTCTTCCTCAACTCGAAGGTGTTGAGCTAATTCCTCTAAATTAAGATCTTCTTTTTTGTGTTTTTTAGTTTTCTTAAAATCCTTCCAAGATGGTTGTTTCTCTATTATAGATGAAACTGCAATAAATTCATCCATGTTCATATTCTTTTGTCGAAACTGACTCAGAATATATTGGATCTCATGGAATTGTTTCATAATGGGCTTTGTATCAATCATAGTAAAACGCATTAAATTATTAATAAGAAATTTCTTACTGGTGGCATCCTCAGTGAGGTACTTTGACTGTAATATGTCACATAGTTGTTTTGTCGTTTCTAGATGTTGATACACATCGAACAAAGAGTCTGACAGCGCATTCAGAATATGTCCTTGATAAATGTAGTCGTCATTCTCCCATTTGGTTTTGGTACAGGTTTGCTCCATAGTCTCGTTTTCTTGCTCTACCGAATAGAGGGTAGTTAGCACATAGACCACTTTGAGAGTGGTGAGCAAAAAATGCATCTTCTTTTGCCAGCGTCGAAAATTTCCTCTATCAAAACGGTCAAGCTTCATGAAATCTTGAGTCATTTTTTGAATAGACATTGCTATATCTAAATATTGTCTTTAGATTGTTGGAACAAATCGTCTTGAATTCTTCAATTGGTGATCTTCGGGTCTTCAAAACTTGGTAATGAACTTGTTTATGTAGAACAGAAATATGATGCTTCAAGTCGCATTATTTAGTCGCTTTCCTAAAGATAATATTTGCATCCACTAAAAGGTATGCAAGGGGTTACAGCAAATTCGCCTCCGAGATACAATAAAGGCTGATCTAAAGATCAAGTCTACCAGCGCCTGCATTGACGACAATATATCAAAATACTCTTGATATAATCAAGAAAACCAAGACAATAATAATCATATTTGTAGAACTTGATTACCAGTAAGAAAAGCAGAAATTTACTTAAGAAACTCTTGATCGAAAACTCAAAATCAAGAGGGGGGAAGAGAGAGAGAGAATTGCAAGAATGCTTCTGAATTTTTTGGATGAAATGAAATGGCTGATTTTGCAATCTATTTATAGGCCTTGATGGATCTGATTGAATGGTCATGTCCCTTGAATGCATTCGATCAGATCTGATCGTTGGATCAAGAATCTACGGTGCAGATCATTCTCACACCGAATATATGCCTTAACTAATCACACTTAATCATGATCGGGTGCCATCTCATCCATACGATCGCGCACATCTCCAATCAACGGCTATGATCAAATTGCTCCAGATCGGACATACAACCGTTTGATCTGTTGGTTGACTCACCGCCAACGGACACCAAGTCACTGTCACGTGGAGCTGACTATATTCCACGTCACCCATGCCACGTTAGATCCACGCCATCGCTCTAACCTGTTCGATGCAAATAGGAAAGCACTCTGATAGCACAAATGCGTAGTGCAAAGTGCACCATCAAACGCCACACAGCCCACTGCCCACGTCACGCGGGCGCTGTGAGTGTATGTACAATAACATTCATCTCATAATACCATATTCAAAGGAATATTCCATATAACACTTTATTAAGTGCTTCATGTTTTTCTCTCTTTCCGATGTGGGACAAAGCCCTAAGCTTATTTCATGCTTTTCAAAGAAAATCATGGAAGGTTTTGAAAACACCAAAAAATAAACTATAAATTTAAAAACCTATTTTGAAAATTCCCCAACAAAATCCAGATCAGATCAGGTCAGATGCCTTTTTTTCGTACATTGATGAACAAATTACATAAGACAGTGCATAGGTTGATATCAAACAGTTCCTATTTTTATCGTGGGATTGGTTTTCTTTCAGTCTGTGATCAGATTGGAAGGTGTTGTTGAGTTCGTGAGAGTCCACTACGGGTCCTGTTTCAATAATTCGAATCATTCAATGTGTAGAACTCGCTAAGTACTATATGCTTGTAAAAAATTACGTTGATCGGACAGCGATAGTTTTTTCATCGGATTAGATTTCTATCAATCGTTTATTTTTTTACCGTTCATTTTTTTAATATAAAACTGATTTGATCACGTAGCTATCGATATCCTATCAACGTGATTTTTTACAGATATATAGTACTTAGCGAATTCTACACATTGACGGCTCAGATTATTAAAACGGGATCTGTAATGAACCCCTACAAGCCCAACAACATCCTTCAATTCGTGATCAGACTGGAGGGAAGCCAAACCCTTTTACCATAATAGTGGCGTACACTCTCCTTTGATCTCTAATATCCTCTTTTCTACTTCTTTTCCTGTCTTTTTCATTTTCCTTTCGAAAAAAATATTTGTCCATTCGAATTTGTCCTAACCATTTGAATTTGTGGGTTGGTCGACCTCTCGAACGATTACGCGGATAATTGGTGTAATTTTTGTTAATTGTAGTTATTACTCTTATCAACTGCGACTGTTATCTATATTGTCGGATAACCAGTTGGACGACCAACCGGTTCACTATCTACACGACCAGTATGCACAAATTCAGACGATTTGGGTAAGTCAAAATTTGGTAGATGTAACATTGCTCTTACCTTTTGTTTGTTTCAGTTAAAAATATTTTTTGGTATTGAATACAATGGAGAATGAAAGTCTAATGGAAAATATATTTTCATGGTCAATGAAAAATAAGTATATTTCAGCATAAAATATTTTCCACTTTTAAAAGACAGAAAACGTTTTCTGAACTAAATATTTAATAAAAAATGCTAGAAATCCTAACAAAATTATCAAATTTTTTAGAGACACTTATCAATAGGTACTTTTGAGACTTTATTACCCAATTAAGTCTTATTAATAAATGAAAAATGTTAGAGATCCCAACAAAATTATTAATTTTTTATCAAATACAGTGTGGGGTCCATATGTAAGTGTTTGATAAAAAATTTAATAATTTTATTGGAGCCATTAGCATTGCTCAATTTTAATAATGTCACCACATCACCATCATCTTTTATTGGAGCCATTAGCATTGCTCAATTTTAATAATGTCACCACATCACCATCATCAGTCTTACCTTCACTACTACACCACCGCCACCGCCGTTGCCGCCGCCACCACCATAGCCACTGTCACCATCACCGTCGCCATCATCACTGCCATGCCAACACTTCCACCTTCATTCCACCACTACCACCACCAAGCAGATATGGATTTTTTTTCCTTGAAATATTTTCCTTCAAAACAAACCGAACATAAATTAAAATAATAATAATAATAATTACATAATAAGTATATAAGTATCAGAAAATTTTAAAATTTTGAAAATGGACATATATCCGTGATGTGTTAAGATCATAATTGCCCTTTTTAGGGGTAATTTGGATTTTCAAAATTCCTTTCCGTGCATATGATCATTGTATGTAACCATTTTTGGATCGTTACGTTTTGTCTCGGAATCTCGCTCTCTCTGTGCTTCGATCTCAGTGCTCGATTTCAATGGTCAGATTCACAGCACACTTTATTTTATTACTAGTATTTGTTTTTGCTGATTTGTTCATTTCCACTGGAATTTTCGGGATTGACACACAAAAAATTGGCTTTGATGATTTTGTTCCCATTTCTCATCTGAGATATATACAGGTTTGTTTGATGCTCTCTCTCTCTCTCTCTCTCTCTCACCGGCGTTTCTCTGCAATTGAAATGAAATTGGCATTTGTTTTTGGATAAGTTTTATGTTTTCTTGATCATTGAGAATTTAATTCAGGTGCGAATTCTAATGCTTGGTCTTCTTGTTCATTTGAATTCTTTCTGTTTTTATGCACAAATTTTGGATTGAATTGGGTTGGTTTTATTTTCCAGCAAAATGTTGAACTGAGTGAGTCCTTTGATGATTCTCCTCATGTCAAAAATGACTATGCTTGTGGGTATATATTTAAGAACATCTTCACACTTGGACTGAAATGGATGGTTTCAAGATATTATCTCAGATTCCAATGTTCTTGGGCACCCATTTGAATTCTGTGACATGTAGATGTGTTACTTTGCTTCTTGTTATCATTGATCTGCTCACTACCACTTTCTCTGGGTTTGCTGGTATTGAACATGGCAACATTATATCGATCCACAACCATTCTGTCATTCAATATGGAGTTTGGAATTCGGAAACCAGTCAAGTACTTGGAGGTTCCTCAACTTGTATGGGGTTTAAACAATCAGAAGATTGCCTTTGCAAGAGCTTGCCTAACCGCAAGAATGCTGAATCGAACCCTTCTGATGCCAAGCTTAAGTGCTTCATTGTTTTACAAAGAAATTGATCTCTTACAACCTATTTCCTTTGGCAATGTCTTTCAATTCGAATGGTTTAACTGGAATTGCAAGGGGTTTGTCCAATTAGGGCGATATTCAGATCTTTCAAATCATACTGATGTTCTTGAGCTTCAAAAGGGTAGTGGAAGGAAGTGGATGGTTGAGAGAGATTTGGACCAATTGAGACAGTTTAGCAAGGATCCATATGACAAGTATGAGATAATTCGGATTATTGAAAAAACCCGTTTCTGTGGAATGATCACTGGCCTATTAAAGATTATGCCAAGGTCTTGGAGTGCTTGGTTTTGGTGATAAGATATCCAAAGAAGCGGATAAAATGGTCTCCATCATTAGACAGAAAGGAACAGAAATTGTTTCAGAGCGAGTGCCTTATTATGTAGCTGTTCACATGCGGATGGAGAAGGACTGGATGATTCACTGTAAGAAGCTTGAGCAAAGATTGAACATTACCGAACTCTGTAGCAGAAAGGAGGAAATTACGTGGAGAGTTGGGAATATTGAGGGCCTGAAAACCCCGATGGTGGTTTATCTTGCTGTGGCTGATAGTCTTCTTGAAGATGACTCTATCTTGAATGGTTGGAAGAATGGATTGGTTCCCTTTGAGAAGAAGAAACTGGGAGTGGTAGGCATTTACAAGAGGTACCCTTATCTCCTTCGATCAGCGATTGATTATGAAGTTTGCTTAAGGGCTGATGTTTTTGTTGGGAACAGTTTTTCCACATTTTCAAGTCTTGTAGTTCTTGAGAGAACGCAGAAGATGATGAGGATGGGGGTGACAAGTTCGTGCTCCCTGGATGTAAGGTGGCCTTCCTATGCCTATAATATCTTGGGAGCATTGGACGGCGCTTGTAGATGGATGACAAATATGTCTCTTTCGAATCTGCAGGCAATTAGCTATGGCTCAAATGACATATCTTGTTGAAATGTTTTTATAAGCAATTTTTGATCAGTTAATGTAGATAATAGGGCTCTGCTTTTTGAAATTTTGCTGACCCTCTCTTGGTGGACGTTGATATGGTTGGTATACTACGATTTTTTTTGTCCTTTTTTGTGTGTAAGAATATGATAAAAAGATATCTCAAATAGCATTTTCATAACGAGGCATAATAGTTGGCTGAGTTTGGACGTTTTAGAACTTGTTGGTTGTCTCTGTACTATCTCTGCATCCATATATTCATTGAGAACATTCAGTTGTATCCCTAGTAGTAGACTTGGTCCTTAGCTGCCATTTGGCATGTGCTTTTTTAAGTTAATTTTTGACTATTTTAACTCCAATTAAAAAATTCATTTGGATTGACCTTATAAAAGAAAAAATAAAATAATTATAATTTGAATGTGACATTTTATCTTATTAATTTTTTATCTTATTTTGCCTACTAAGACCATCTCTAACCCTTCACCAAACCTAGCATCAAATTTGAAATTTGGTTAAAAAAACACCGTTTAGAGCTCCAACGATTTTATCAAATTGATATCAAATCGAGAATTCACCAAACGTTTCACCAAAAGGAGCACAGGCTCCGCATTTCACCAAAACACTGTGCATGACCGTTGGGGGAGACCAACCGGTCGACCACCAAAAGGTTCAAACAGTTCCAAAAAAAGTTCATCAAATTTGAAATTTGGTTAAAAAAACACCGTTTAGAGCTCCAACGATTTTATCAAATTGATATCAAATCGAGAATTCACCAAATGTTTCACCAAAAGGAGGACAGGCTCCGCATTTCACCAAAATACTGTGCATGACCGTTGGGGGAGACCAACCGGTCGACCACCAAAAGGTTCAAACAGTTCCAAAAAAAGTTCAAACAGTTGAAGAAAAAAAAAATTTTTGCCTTACCGGTCGACCTAAAAGGTTCAAACAGTTCAAAAAAAAAATCAAAAAAATTTTTTTGGCTTAACCGGTCGACCAACCGGTTATCCCGGCACAGATTTGATGAAAATTTGATAAAAATCAACCGTTAGAGCACTCGGTATCAGATTGAGGAAAAAGTCATTTTTTCACTCAGATTTGATGAAAATTTTGGTTCAGGATTGGAGATGTTCTAATTTAGTCCAAAAAGCCAATGCTAAATGAAGCCCTGGATAAAGGCTTGTAGGTTTCTTCGCTACTGAGCAGTGCTTATACAGTAATTAACAACGGCAAACAAATGGCTTTGGGATACTGATTAACATTATTATATTGAAAGGTTGTATATTACTCACATACCCTTAGTTTTATAAAAAATGTTTAATTATTTTGAAGTTTATTAATCAATGTCAGATGTACTAATTAACAAACCATCCCCCTGTAATACATACAAATACACACATATATACACACAAAACAAGATATATATATATATATAGAGAGAGAGAGAGAGAGAGAGAGAGAGATGAACATGCTTCTTTCATTGATTTTTAATCAGTTGTCACGTATATGTTTCTCATTTTTCTCCTTTCCTCTTTTTCTATCATACAACAATTCCTTACTCTTATGCAAGGAAATTCAGGGGCACAAGTCTTACAGATTGAAAACTACATAAAAAAAAATTGAGCAGTCCCTATTAGCACGGTCTCTAAAAATGAAAATGGAGTGAAAGAGTTAGAGATTCTACCTCCTCCCAAGCTTTTTGTTTTTTGGGTGGTGCTAAAAGGCTTATTTCCAATTTCTGGAATATTCAGTATTATATTTGCTTCATTGAATGTAATCCTCATAGTAGCTATCACTTATAACGGAGACAAACCTTTCGAGCCAAGGAAGTTGATGGAGATCCTTCATGGTATCGACATAAGAGTCTGTACAGCGAGGCGGGGATTGGTGAGGGTGATGAATCTGATGATCACTCAAACTGAATCCCCCCGAAAGGAAACTCTGGATTAGTGCCAGCTGTGATCTCTCTTGATCTGAGTAAGAATCCATAATCACAGGGAATGAATCATAGCTATCCCATGCCCACTGTTCGGATTCTTGTGTAGGGTGAGTGACTGAGTCCTCAGAGTTCTCTTCATCCCAGAATGCACACTGACATGTCTGTTCACCATCCCTGTAACCGGCACCACACGAGTAACAGAACTCGTGCCCACACCTGCAGAGGCAAATCAGGTAAGCAAATCTTCATTTAAGAACATTGCACAAAGCTATTGTCAATATTTGCCTCAATCAAAACCCAACCCCAAAAACAATATTTAAAAAAAAAAAAAAAAAAGCAAAAAAAGAAAAGAAACGAGGAACGATTCAGGGTGTTGGGAAAATTGCTGAACAAGGGAAAATGTGATCGATATTCTTTAATGAGTTGTAGCAATCTATCATTTATTAACTGCCCCATATTCTTAATATTTACATTCTCTTATACTTATGTATTTGTATGCTATGCTATTAGACAAAGGAACAACAACCACTTTTTTATCCGTCTTTCTTGGAACTGTGAACCCAAAAAAAAATCAAATGATATTCTACTTTCCTTTTTAATTATGGATACTGAAAATACTAAAAGTTCACTCCAAAGAATTCAAGTCAAAATGTCTTAGTAGAAAATAAAACTAGAAACTGTATATGTATATATAAATTAATAGATATAAAGAGAGGAAGGGAGGGAGGAGGAAAATGCTAAACTGAAAATATAGACAGAGAAGTGAAAATGCTAAAGAACAGAGAAAGATTAACACATGGTGTGCTAGAGTTCCTGCATAGTTAGATACACAAGTATGTTCTTTAATTGGGAATGTTATCATAAGAAAAAGTAGAAATTAGCCTAAATACTAACATTAATAAAAGTAATCTCATTCTCTGGGCTGTTGTTATGTGACATTAATTGCATTTTGGATGCATAAAAGAATTAAAAGATTTAATTTGACATTGCCCTTGCATATGCCAATATACTATATAGAGGGATGTGGATAAGCACTCTCCCAATAAACAGATTGCTATTCCCCCTTTTCTTTTTCTGCTCGATACTTCCAAACTTGTCATAGTATTCATGACCCTTTCTATATCATTATGTGTGAACAAACATTACAAAATGGCATCAACCAGTATACTACTTTGTGGAGTTGACTTGAAACACAATAATAAAGCCTCGCATTAAGTGAAGTTAAGAAAAGTAGACTATTTATACATACATATATATACATAAATTACCTAACAAGGAACTGTATTCAACCAAAATATAGTAAAACAATGATCATTACAAAAATTTTCATTAGTGTCCACTGTAACCGTAACACCATTCTTTCCATCGTTGTTCTAAAGATGTGCATTTACAACAGGGTATTGTAGTAGCACTAAATTTCACTTTCAAGGCAAGCTAAGAACTCTCAAACGTGCACACATGCATGGAAGAGAACAAAAAAATTAAAAAATAAATCTATTTAAACTCAGTTCCAACTATAATAAAATATTTAGAATGATATCGCAAATACTTTTGTTTTCTGTCATTGAAAAAACAAACAAACAAACACAACATATACATCCATATTTCTAAAGAAAGTGATCTTACCGGCATGTCATGTGGCAGCAACCATGTGTTAGCTCAATCATCCGCCAGCACTGTTGGCAGCGCCTCCACCTTTTATTTTGTGCTAGACGATGGAGTGTAATGTCACCAGCATCCCTCTCCTCCAAAGGGAGGTTTCGATACTCTTCACAGCTCAACAAAGAATGCCAAGAGACCCCACATTCAACACAGATAAATCTGTGACAAACTGGGCACTCCACACAACTGTTTTCTGACTGACTTGATGAGCTTGCCCTTGCTGATAAGCATTCATGAGGATAAAAAAGAACCGAACAATTTGGAAAGGGGCAATAAATTTTGTCCGAGTGGAGAACATTTGCATCTGCAAGTGCTCTCTCCAACATTTCATAAGAGACAACAGGAAGAAAAGATCTGCATTCAGTGGCAGAGATATAATATTTGCACCTCAACTGAGGACATCTAATGGGGACTTGAGCGGACTGTACTTTCTCATTGACATAGGTTTTCATACAATGGGAGCAAAACTTGTGGGAACATTTCATTGTGATCATCATCTTTGCTGGCTTCTCCTCAGAACAAATGGAACAGTTTTCATATGATTCATCTCCCTCAGCAGCAGGAAAAGAGACAATCCCAATTGCCACTTGGGCCAAGTGTAATGGCCTTTCTAGGTCAGTATAGGGTACCAATTTAAGAATAAATGTATCCAGATCTTTGGCATGTTCTAGGATCCTTTGCCTCAATGCTAGAAGAAGTGGATTCTCAAGTTTCTCCACATTAATAATCTGTCAAAAGCCATATATCACTTTGAAAAGTATGAAATAATATATGTTGGCATTTGGAGATAATTTTCATGCAGAGAAAAGAACAGGAGACAGGAATTATAGCTGAAAAACTTAAACTTCATTGTTTAATTCATGCAAGGTTTTTGTGTGAACTTTTCTGACCTCTCATGAGGTTTTTGATCTCCAAGGGCTTCCCCTGACATTTCTGAAATGATACTGACCTCCCTTGTTAGTCTTGTCACCCAAATGTCGTTACTGCAAGGTGGTCTTTTACTAAGTTACACCTACAATTAACGGAGACATTTTTTCCCATTTGTTCTTATTTTTTAAACCAAACACCATTAATCTAATGCAATAATCTCTATTTTGATAACCAAACATCACAATAAACCTGCAACCAAACAACCCCCCCTCACTACGGTCATTTTCTCCACTACTACCAACACAACCAACAACCAACAAACACCTCATCATCATCGTTTCTCCCCCTCCCCTTCCCCTTCCCCTTCCCCACTGCCACTAACTGTAGCTGATCATTTCCACTAATTGTAGCTGATCATTTAATTGTTGCGAAACCATCACATCCCACCGGCTACCATTGCCCTGTATCTCTTCCCATATTGTTAAGAGTTATTTGATTAGTAAATACTCTTTTTATATTATATTAGTAAATATGTATTACAGAATGCGTTAGATGCTCTTACTAACTCACACCATTGTATTGGGAGATAGGAAAGGGGGAGGAGTGGTGACAATTGGCAAGGGAGGTGGGAGAGAAGTGGTGGTTATTAGTGGTGAGGGAGAGGCAGTCATCAGCGTTGGCGGTGATCAATGGTTGTTGGCAGAGAGGGAAAAAGAAGACAAAGAGGGAAAGGAGAGGGCGGTAATCAGGTGAGGGAGGGTGTTTATAGGTGGGTGATAAAATTTTGGTGAAGTCCACAATTTTGTGAGGTGGATGAATTTCTTGTTTGTCCAGAAACCTTGGGTTAGTGGGCAGCAATATAGAATTTAATCTCAATAACTTAATTTAAAACTAGAGGACACTTAGATCATAAACAAACTACTTTAGCAACCAAATTAAATGCCATCATCCAAATTCAAAACAGAGAATGTAAGGTAAGGAGCTTATATGTTTTTTGTATAAAAATGGATCTCTCACCTGATCATATAAAATCTCCGAGTCAGTAAAAGCAAATACCCGCATAATCTTATTTTGCGCAGCCTCCAACAGACCATCCATCAAAGCTAAATAGTCCGCCACAGACTCATCCACAAAAAAATCAAGCTTTTTCTGCACTTGAATAGAAGGAAAATTAGCTGATCTTTCTATAACTACACCAATCCCAGAGACCCCAGCACCACAACCTCCAGCCTCTGCTATTGATGCACCCTTGAAGAACATATTCACCGAAACATCATCAAGATTATTCTTTGAACCTTCCTTTGCGGTTTCTTCCCTCTCCTTCAATTCGTCTTCATCTTCGCAACAGCTCCGGAAATCTTCTTCATCTTCTTCGAATTTCACTTCCCTAGACGAATTCACATAAGACCCACAACCAAAAATTACTTGCTCTTCCATTTTCACCAACTTCCCCGGGAATCAACAACAGTTCTGTAACTCTAATACTTGTGTTTGGTATCAAAATCTACTCACAAACCATCAACAAACCTACAAAACTCGAAAATTTAGCATCTTTTTTAACCCAAAGCCACAAAAGATAACATTTTCATCAAACAACTCTGATCCTATTTCGAAATTAAACTTAAACTAAATTCATTGAGAAAAAAAAATCCTTTTTCTTGTTTTTGAAACGCCAATTACTAGGGATGTTCTGACTTTTATTTTTCAAATCAAAATCTAAGAAAAAGACCATAAAAAAACTGGATATAAAACTCCAGTTTATGATCGGCAACAACAAAAAGGCTAAACGTAAGAATTCAATGGCCACAAATCTATGAAATCATGAAACAAAGTCAACCCACTTAATCAAATCTATGAACTATATTATTAAAATACTAATCTAGATGCAAATATAAGAAGTAGGAATCAAATTGAAAGCACGGAAAGGGAAGCTTCCATACCATGTCCTGGTTCTGTTCTGTTCTGTTCTGTTTTGTTCACACCTTATCTGGAGGAATTTCAAGTGATTATTTTGCGTTGAAACTCTGTCCTCCAAAGGGTACAAAAACCCTAACCTGACAACTGGCCCATGACTTTTCTAGAGAGACAGAGAGAGAGAGAAGCATCAGTTACTGTTGGTTGTTGGAAAATTGTGGAACACATGCTATACAAGTCTAAAAATTAAATTAATTTTTTAAGTTTAATAATGTAGTGATTAATTAAATATTTAAGGTAATGATATTTTTTTTATATTCTTTTAATTATCAATCAATCATATCACTTATATATTATTAGTCTAGAAAATGAGTTTAGAAAATTAACTTGTATATCATTTTTCATTATACAATAGTCTCGAAATATCATATGTTGTACTCTCTCATCAATTATTATTCATTGGGAGTATTTAGTGCAACTGTTAAAACATATGGTAAATTATAACTTAACAGTTTATAAATTATAGTTTTAATTAAAATTTATTAATCTGTTTATTGCACCTGTTGAAATATAAATTAAATTGATGAATAGTATTTGGTAAGTAAACTGTAATATAACTTTTTAAATTAACTTTTATTTTTTTATTATTTATTACTGGTTCACATTTCTCAAAAAATAATAATAATAATAATTTGGAGTCATTTGGGTCTTTTTTATTTGTTGATAAAAAAAAAAGAAAAATTAGTTTAAAGTTCCTCTCCTATTTTTAGTAATGGAAGAGATCCACAATATTATTTTATGATGTCTAAGGTCCCTCAACTCCCACACTCATATATCACAAAGAAATTTAACTGAAATCAAACCTCAGCTTCCCACTTCTCTCTCTCTAGAAACATACACAAATATATATATATATATATAGCTTTAATGGCGGTGCTCGTCGCTGACCCAAGGCGAAAACGAGAGCTGCGAAGTTATGGATCTAGATCTTAGCAGAGGCGCAAAGCTCACCAACCTTGCTGACATTCACTTAGATAGGAACAAGCTCACCGGAATCATCCCCGAATCCTTCAGACACATTCGAAGAAGCCGCCTCTTCTTCACCGTTACTCTCGTCGCCGACCCAAGGCGGAGACGAGAGCTGCGAAGTTATGGATCTAGATCTTAGCAGAGGCGCAAAGCTCACCAACCTCGCTGCCATTCATTTAGACAGGAACAAGCTCACCGGAATCATCCCCGAATCCTTCAGAAAGTTCACTGGATCAGTCTCAGACCTCTATCTCTCTCACAACCAACTCACTAGACCAGTACCAAAATCTTTGGGTAATTTGGACTTTACAAGACTTGATCTTTCACGTAACCAGCTTTTGGGTAATTTTCTCTGGGTTTTTAAATTTCTCTAGATTCATTTTGATCAATTGAAGGCCAGGGAAGTCAGAGAAATTTTCAAATTTCTCTGGAGTGTTGAGTCTAGGAGAGGCAGGGAAGGCAGAGAAATTTAAAATTTCTCTGGAGATGTAATTTTGTGTAATTTCTTTTTCAAGTTTGATATGTAAAACCATTTAACCTCCAAGATCATTGAATTACAACCACTATATTGCTTAAAAGATGCCTCTTTTTCCATCAAACACTAATAATTTAAAACCTGTTCTAGCTTCAGTCTAGACCACTCAATTCAACTTGATGAAGATTTGAATTTAAATTGGTTGTATTGGCTACTGGTAGCCATTTTTGTAGAGTAGGCATAATTAATGCATCCTTGGTTCATGCTCAAGATTGTAAACTAACACTACTGCACTCCAAAGAGCATGAATTTGCAATTGCACTTGCATTTCATTATGGTTTTTGTACCTATGTTATTTTGTGCTGCTAAGTCGTGCATAGTTGAACTAGTGTTACTTGTTAATTTTAGAATGATATACTCTCTTATCACACAGACACATAACAGAATTGGTATTCTTACGTATATATATGGTGTGTGTTTGGACTAGAGAAATTCTGATTTGAACTAAATTTTCTCTGGGTTGGTCCAGAAAAATTCTTTGGTTTGGACTGAATTTTATTTTTATTTGAACTGAATTTTCTCTGGGTTAAAGAGAATTTCTCTGGAAATGTTTCTTTAGGAATTTCATTGATTTTGAGAGAATTTCTCTAACTGAAAGTGATCCAAAGAAATTCTTAAAGATATTTTTCTTTTATCTTCCATGCTGAAGTGAGTAGATTTCTTCATAATGCTGTCTATTTTGTAGAATCAATTGTTAATATCTCCCCACTTAAACATATTCTTTTGCTTTTGAATGTCTACTACTTGTTGTTTCAGTTATTTGCAGTGTATGTTACTGAAAATTGTTTGATGATAATGAAAATGATTGCATTCTTTTTAAAGTTTGATATGTAAAACCATTTAACCTCCAAGATCATTGAGTTACAACCACTATATTGCTTAAAAGATGCCTCTTTTTCCATCAGACACTAATTTTGTGGAAAGGCAGAGAAATTTCTCTAAGAGAGTAAGAAGTATATAGAAGGCAAAGAAATTTGGATAAGGTGAGGGCAGAGAAATTTACAATGGGAAATTTCTCTGTGACGTGAATTTTCACTGGATCAACTTGAGGGGCCTTAGACATTATGAAAATATTGAGTGTCCTTTATGCTGTAAAATCTTAACACCAAGGACCTTAAAAAAAATTCTCCAAAAAAAAAATCTAAGGATAATCGTTTTGAATTAAAATAAGTTGCTATAATTAAAAACAGTTTAAAATAAATTTAATTAAGGGTTTAGCTTGTCTCAGGTTGAGATCAAGATTGGACCTGGCCAGCCCGTCCCATAAGACTATTTTTGGGCTTCGTTTTCGATAATTTGAACCGTCAATGCGTAGAACTTGTCAAGTACTATATTCCTATTAAAAACCACGTTGATCGGATATCGATAACTATTTGATCGGATCATATTTTTATAAAAAAAATGAATGGTAAAAAATAAACGGTTGATAAAATTCTGATCCAATTAAATAGTTATTGATATTTGATCAACGTGATTTTTTACGGAAATATGTACTAAACGAGTTCTATATATTGAATGATTTGAATTATTAAAACGGAGTCCAAAAATGAACCCATGGGCTGGACTGGATGGGTCCAGTCTTTTTTTTTTTGTTACAGGAAAATCCTCCCACTCTCCCGCAGGTCCAAGGCAGCGCCCCTTGAGGAGATTACCAGGGTGTCCTGTTGTCCGTTCCGAGTAAGAGACTATAACCTGGAAGCTTGTCCCGACCTCCTAAGGCAAGCTCCGCTTAAGTCAGGACTCGCACAGCGGGGGAGAATTAAACCCACACCAAGTAGCTGATAAGGCATCCTTGAGGTCAACCTCCTAACCAACTATGCTACGCCCAAGAGATTGGTCCAGAGGGGAGTTGAACCCAGGACCTAAGGGCTTAAACCCCAGGCCCTTACCAAGTTGCCACTCACCCCTGGGTTGAATGGGTCCAGTCTTAATCTCAACATGAGACAAGTTGGACTCTTTAATTAAATAGTTTAAAATATTTTTTTCAAAGTTAAAATTTATAACTAGACCAAAATAAACCACACCAAATACTCTTATGTGTTTGTATTTTTCAATCACCTAACATAAATAATTAATATTATATATTTTTCACGAGTTATGTTAGGAATTCCAAACAAATTATTAAATTTTTTATCAAATCTCTCACATAGATATGAGACTCACATAAATTATATATGTGTAGATCTCTCACTCATATAAAAGATTTGATAAAAAAATTTAGGTCTTGTTTGGCATGATTTAAAAAAGTGAAAAAGTTAAAAAGTCACTATCATATTTAAGTCACATTATCTTATTTAAATCATATCACTTTTTTATTATATCGCTTCAAACTCAACTCATATTCAACTCATATTTCATAAAAAATCAAAATGTCCCATTAATAATTTAGAGCATTTTCCATTTTTCGCCAATCATACTAGCAAGAGCGTGGTCGTACGCCAAACTACCGAAACCCTTGGTTGTTAACGGCGTAGAAGAAAGGGCTGCTGTGCTGGCATTTTTTCCTCTCGCTGCTGCTCGTGTCACCACTGTCGTGAGATTGTGGGCCCTTTAAGTTAGGGATTGTTTGGAATGGTCCGTGTATTTTTTATCTTTTTATAAAAAAAAATGTAAAAAAAATAAAAAAATGATGTGATAAAAAAATAATAAAAAAATAAATTATTTAAGGAATGCCAAAACACCCTTAACGTGAGTCCCACCTATTTGAGAATTCTAGTGACATTGCATATGCAGTATTAAAATTTAAAAACAAACATACTTTAAAACTCCCATTTTAGAGGATCTCCATAACCACCACAATAATATGAACTAATTATATATTTTTATTTTTTTTTCTTTCTTTTCTAAACCAATTATAAGTGAGAAATCACCGCTTAATGTGAGTCCCACGTATTTGAGAATTCTAGTGACATTGCATATGCAGTATTAAAATTTAAAAACAAACATACTTTAAAACTCCCATTTTAGAGGATCTCCATAACCACCACAATAATATGAACCAATTATATATTTTTATTTTTTTTTCTTTCTTTTCTAAACCAATTATAAGTGAGTAAAGGTTGTTGGTGTGAAATTTTGTGGACGTCTCTAGCAAAGTTGTAATTTATAATTTTTTTGACGGCCATCAGTGTCAAGTAATTCTTTCTATAAAAAAACCTGAACATGCAAAAAACTATTTATCAAATTTTCTATCATATATTTACATGGGTTTGCACACTATGTGCAAAACTTGTGATTATTTAATAAAAATTTTGGTAAAAAATTTGAGATGTCTAAATTTTTTTGATAATAAAAATAAGTGCACAGAATTGATGTACAGTATATAAAATGATAAAAAAAAAAAAATTATTATTCAAATTCAACCCATATATCACAGAGTCTACATATAAAATAAAGAAAAAAAAGATTAGAAACTCTAAATTAAGAGTTTTAATAGTTTTAATTGGTATGTTGGTCCCATGTAATGTGATGTTTTGATTTTAATTTTTTTTTTAATTTTTCACATCATTAGTGCTCTTTTAAAGCTTTCAAATTAGAGAGATATATATCATTTCCTTAAAATAAATTTTAGTCACATAATAAATTTTTGTTCATACAATTTTTGTTTTAATGGGTATGAGAAAATTAGAGCATACATGGGCATCGCGTGCCATGTTACGGATCAATCACCAATTGTCAAGATTATTATTATTTAGGATTCGTTTAGGACGTAGATTGACTTTTTGATTTTTTAATTATTTTAATTTAGGGTTAAAAAGTCTCTTTTGGGATAAATTTTTTGACTTTTGTGAAAGAAAAAATAAAATGATTATGAATCGAATGTGCTATTTTGTGTTAAAAAATTTATTTTACCATTTTATGACTAAAATAGTCAAAAAATTAAAAAATCTACCATGCCAAACGAAAGCCTAGTCACAAACATAAATAAGTGGAGCATAATTTTTTCACCAATCATATTCCATTTCCAATGTCAAGATCTTGATGAAAACCCTCACAAATATGAGTCCGGATCCTCTCTGACCAAAGGATCCCTCCGGTCTCCGGTCAAGGGCCACGATTTGGCCACGTGGCCCTTTAAAGATCTGCGGCTTAGATAAAAAAAAAAAAAAAAAAAAAGAATTTCGTTTTTCACCAAAAACTTCTTCAAATCATCTAAAAAAAAATCTGAACATCATCAATATCATCTTCAAACTTAATTGATTATTCAGATCATCTAAAGATGTTCAAATTTCATCAAACGCTAAAAAAAATCTTCAAGATCAGATTTGAACATCAATCTTAATTGATAAAATTTGAACATCATCTTCAAACTTCAAACTTCAAAATTTGAACATCAATCTTAATTGATTATCAAACGCAGATCTATGATAAAATTTGAACATCAATATCATCTTCAAACTTCTTCAAACTTAATTGATTATTCCCCTCAACATTTCAGTTCTGTTTTTTTTTTAAATTGATATTTCAATACAGATAAAAATCAGATTTCAAATCTGCATAATTTTTTTTTCTTGAAGATCATCAATATCTGCAGAAAAATCTGCAGAAATTTTTTTTAGTTTTGATGCAGATTTCTGTGTTGAAGATCATCAATATATATTCTTGAAGATCATCTATCCATTGTTTTTCAGAAATCTGCATATATATTCAAATCATCTAAAAAAAATCTGAACATCTTCAACATCATCTTCAACACCTTCATCATCTATCCATTGAAGATCATCAAGATCATCTGCAGAAAAAACGCATCAAATCTTCATTATCTTCAACATCTTCAACATCATCATCTTCAACATCATCATCATCTTCATCAACAACAAAAAAAAAAATTCCTCTGCAGATCCGGATCTACAAATCTTCATCATCTTGGTTTTTCTTCTTTTTCTTCTTCCAAAATATCTGCATTAGAAAAACGCAGGAAAAAAGAAAAAAAAAATGTATCCTCTGTTCTTCTTCCATTTCAGAGAAACGAAACTCTTTTTTTTTTTTTTTTTTTTTGTTTTTTTTATCTGAGCCGTAGATCTTCAAAGGGTCACGTGGCCAAATCGTGACCCTTGACCGGAGGATAGGAGGGACTTTTGGCTGGAGAGGATCCGGACTCCACAAATATGTAATGAGTCTGATAAAAGTCCGTTAAAAATCAACCTCTCCACGCAAGACGAACCATCTGACAGGAGTTGAATTAGCTTAGCAGCTCAACTGCCCAGTCTGTGCCATTTCTTGCTCGCACGCTTAGTGGGGTGAGGAGTGGGTGAGGTTAGGTTAGTAGGAAAATGAAACCTATTGCCTAATCAGTCTACAACCAACTTAGGTAAATTAAACTTTTTTTTTTTTTTCTGGGATAGGATTTGGTAGACTGTGCGCCTCATTGGGTAGAACAAAATATAAAGCATTAGCTTAGAAAATACAAATAAGTACCTTTGTTGAAACATCACAATTTACATTTTTTGAAACATAACATTGTTTAACCAACCATGCATACATAGATAGAATATATATATATATATATAATTTATTCTCATGGCATTTCTTCATATAATTACAAATCAACATCCCAATAATGAATCAATCATTATTCATATATTAATATATATATATAAAAGTGATTGAGATCATTAAAAAACACATCACTAATAGCTCTAATGAGCTGAAAAATGTAAAAAAAAAAAAAACAAAAAACAAATAGAAGAGACAACATCACATCAAGGGGAGCCACCTCATTAGTGTTTTCTTAGTGCTTTTTTTTTAGTGCTCTCAAGTATTAATTTATATATATATATATATGGTACATCAAGCCCATTTGGCCATGAGGGACATCAAGCCGGCGCCTAGAAGAACAGCAACATAGGATTTGATTTGAAGGTGAATGCTATAGCTTGTAACTTAGGACCCATGAAATCAGCGGCGAGGAGATCAACCAGAGCCATGTAGATGAGAAGTCCAGCAGAGGCGGCATTGAGGAGTCCAACAGTGATCAAGGAGCTTGGACTGTTTTCTCTGTAGCTGTTTGACAACGCCATCCCTAGTGCTATCCCAAATGGTGTTGTTACAGCGAAGAAGAATGCCATCACTGCCTTCTTCATCAACTTGTACTCTGCCTATATATACATATACACAATAACAATTACATGTACAAAAAGTAGATGAAGTAAGCGTGGCGTCAGACAAAACAAACAAGATAAAGGTTGGTTTAGGAAGAACTTTTAGTCTAATTTTTTGGTTAGAAATAATTTTTTGACTTATTTATTTTTTTACGAGAGAAAAATTAAAATGAGTATGATTTGGATGTGACATTTTATCTTATTAACTTATTTAGCATATTATGTCTTTTTGTTTTTTTTAATCCCAACCTACTTGCCAAATCGCAGCAAAAATAGACACAAAAAAAAAAGAAAAAAGATAAAGAACGTAATATATGAAGCTATAAAAAAAGGGTATATAAGAAGCTATAAAATACATATACATGGGATAGCTTGACCGGTCCAATTAGGCTCATGGGACCATTAAGGGTCATAATTTAATGATTTGATTTGTTCATTTGATATGATTTTGTGTTTAAATCATTCAAACAAATATTATATTAATTCGATAGTCACATATTTTTATCATATTTGTTTTTACAAAAATTAAACAACGAAGTATGATTTTGAAAATAGAGTGCTTATTTTTTTTATGACAAATATGATGAAATTATGTAACAATTGATTTTTTCTAATCAATTTAATTTTTTCATAGATGATGTACATATATAAACTTACAAAATGAATAACTCAAATTGTTAGATTAAAATATGTGATGAATCTTATATGTTAAAATAAACCGGTCCAATTTATAAGACTGAATAAAAGTTGACCCCATATATATAAGATGCAAGTACAAAAAATTAAAAACTTAGCAGAAATATAATTAGCTGGAGGATGCAACCACCAAGGCCCATTCCTTCAAACATTTGATGGAAGCATAGGGCAGCCACTAGTGGCTTTATGGTGCAAGTGTTGTTTGAAGCTCCCAGTGCTAGCCCTATCACTATTGAATGAACTATGACTCTCAATTCCAATACCTGCATTACTCACTTTTAGTATCTTAAAGAACATCTTTGAACATATAAACTTGTGTGTCAAGTCAACATGTAACAAATGTAAACAATAAAATAGAGATGCACACTAAAATTATTAAATAATTTATTGTGAATCTAGTGATTGATGGAGAAATTGAGATGTAAGTAGAAGATGTTGGAAATTAAATGTAAAAGTAGAAAACTGACCATGGCAACCACTCTACACCGCAATAGTTGTGTGCCTTGGCTTCCTTCCTTCACCGCCGCGCCGTCGTGTCCACCACCCACCTCTTCCTCCTCGTCTCCTCCCTCAACCACCACCTCACTGTTCTCCGGTATAACCCCACCACCACCTCTATTCCTCTGGCTATACAAGCTCGTCGCTATTGAATCCACCATAAGAGTCCCAATGGCCGAAAACATTGCCACAAAACCACTGAAAGGAAACTTGTGCCATGGCTTCTCAGGCAAGCAACTCGACGACAACATGTCAAAAGAGTCCGGTAACACGTGCATGAACCCGGTGGCTAGTATGATTCCGGCTGCAAAAGCCTTCACGATCACGAAGAGGCTGCGATCAGGCCCGAGAACAGGGATGGAACGGGTGAGAAGAGGCGAGCTCACTCCTATCATGCTGGTCACTAGTATGGAGGCAATGTCAATGATTTTGAGTGGCAAAGCCTTGGACTTGTCCACGCAGTCGCTGGACTCCAGTGAGCATTGTTCAGGAACAACGGAGACAACTTGGGATGTGAAGATGGAGATGAGGATGAAGAAGACGGAAATGATGAGCTCGAAAAGTGTTTGTGTAGTAGCCATTGACTTCCTTCTACTTGTACGGCTTTTTCACATACATGTGACTGTCAAAAACGCAACAAAATCTCATTAGAAAGTGTAAAAAACGCAGCCCTAAATAAAAAAATAAATCTTTTATGTTGGGTAAGGATATTTTGGTAATTTTAATTTGATTTGACACCATAAATAAATATTAAATTAAAAAGTAAAAAGTCAATTTTTTACCGACTCCCTAAATCATTTCCAAAAAAATCAAAAAATTTGATAAAAAATCAAAAACTAACTTTTTACCAACTTTCTAAAATAACTCAAAGTTTTCCCCATTCCTCAAATTTAACTCTTACTATTCCAATCACCATCATTTAAAAATCTTTTGGTGTAGTAATTTCGAAATAAAATTTAATAAATATAGATGTTTTGAGGTAAGGAATAAAAAATTCTAGAAATAAAAAAAAAAATATCGAGCACTATAATACCTCCCCAATTAAATATTACTCACAATATCAAGTATATAGTAGAATCACATTGAATTTGATGATTGGATAACCTTTTTAATGCGCGCCAAGAATCCTCTAGAGTGAAATTTTTCTAAAGTTTCCTAGAGTGCTATATTGTATGGTTCAGATTTACTGGCAAATCACATCAGAAAAATTGATGTGACTTGCCAGTAAATCTCAACCACACAATGTAGCACTCAAGGAAACTTTAAGGAAAAATCACTCTAGAGGATCCTTGCTCTTTTATGCGTGTATTGCATAAGAGCATCTTCAATGCACTAGACATATAATGCTTGTTAGGTAAAATGCCTAGTATGACTCACTTTTTTCAACTCCAATGCACTAGGCATGTAATTAAGCATTTTAGCTCAACTCACATTCACTAGCTACATGTAGCTAGCCTTCAAGGGTAGGCAAAATGTATTTAATCATTAGGATTATTTTCCTCCATCTTTGTTGCTGATGTGACATTTTATAAAATTAATAGTATTTGGATGAATAGTTAAAATAAAGAGCATGGTTGGAGCAGAAATATGAAACAGTTGATAGGCAAAATAAAATGTATACTTTATAGTAATGTTTAGATAGGTAAAATGCTTATTACCGTTGGAGATGCTCCAAAGAGGCTAGCTAGTAGCATCAAAATTCCATTAATTGTCTAATATTTGTGGAATTATTTCAATAAATAATTAAGGGGACATCTTCTCTTGAGTGAACTAGAGGTTGCAACCTGTGCTAACGAGCCTGCCACAAACTCCACTACTTTCTTATTTATTCATGTTGTAGACCTATGTTTAGATCATTAATAAAAATAAAAAATAAAACAAAATTGATTTGATAATTGTAGTTACGAGATTTTATTATATCTGTCTAGACGGTCCATTTTTTTTTAAGATAAACAATAAAATCACATAATTGTAATTATCAAATAAATAAATGGATGAAATTATCAAAATATATAATATTCCGTAATGAACTCAGGGTGAACTGGATTTGTCTAGTTTTTTTTTTTTTTTTTTTTTTTTTTTGAGTACATCGGAAATTAACTGAATTTGTGTAGTTGACACAAAAGAGTGAGAGTATAGTTTGGCCCATTAATTAATAACAAGCATAGAAACTAGAAGCAGGTTTTTATATTGGCAAGTGATTGATGGAGTGGAACAAACCATATGGCAAATTAGAATAATATGACATGTGTTTACAAAGCTCGCGGAGGCATGTTTTTGGCCATGGGATAGGATGAGTGTGTGTAGTGCATGGGGAAGAACATGTTCAGCATGAGTTTGATGCTGATGTGGCTTTTTATTACCTCTTGTACGGCTGAAGAATATAAATAATAGTGCACATAAATCATTTACGGAATAGATTACATGTCACTTTCTTGTCTCTCATTTATGAATCCACTTTGTAGTCTTTTATTTGTAAATTATTATGTGAACCCACCATCTTGTCTTTTGTTTGTGAATTATTATGTGAATAATCTCTATGCACATGTAACAAAGTTGAACTCAATTGGGTCATCTCATAGGTAGGGCTCGGGAGCTTCTTGAGAAGTTGGGCTTCCTCCCACACTGTGTCCATCATGAACGACCCAACTAACTATATAAATTTTTAATAACTCGGTACCTGGCTCACAACTTACTAAACAAATGATGCAACTTAAGATATTAGAGTGCAAAAATATTTTCCTTTCTTAACAAAAAAAACTTTAATTAAATAGTACAAAATCTTGTAGTTAACCAAAATCAAATGTCAATAATGAAATGATTTATAATCGGAGAATAGATTATTTTAGTAATTTTTTGATTTTTTAGTTAAATTTGGGATGGTTAGTTGACTTTTGATGTATAAAAATAAAAATAATAAAAAATGCAAAAAATAGAGAAAAAAATAATTTTTAACCTTTTTGTGTTGACTTTTTAAATTAGAATTGTAACTTTCCAAACAAGCCATAAATTTAACAATAGATTGGACTATTGGACTCCCTGTCCAACAAAGTGAATAGCCTAATGTTTGATTGAAAAAGTAAAAGTCGGACTAATAGTTTAGTAGGACTAATTGTCTCTCATATGTGGGATAACTCAATCCCTTGGGGAAATAGAAATGGAAGGATTTATCCAACCTTCGGATTAGATAGTTAAATGAAGAAATTAACCCTAAAATATATAACATTTATTTTTTATAAACATATTGAATATTTTTAAAAACATGTATAAATTAATCTCATGATATATAATAGTCTTTTTTTTTTCTTCTTATTTGGTATTAGCAAAATAATAAAAGGAAATATGCTTCTAATATTTAAAAGAAAAACTATATATGGCATCCATTTTCTTCATTTTAAAGTTTTTTAAAACATGTAAATTAATCTCATAATATATTCTCTTTTTTTTTTCTTTTATATTAGTAAAATCATAAATAAAAATATAATTCTAATGTCGCATTTAAATAAAATTAAAAATGATCTTAGTAAAAAGTAAAAATATATTTCAAATTTAGTAGTGCCATTGCAAACCATTTAAAAGGACAAAATAGTTTTTTGAGAAGTTAATTATCCTTCATAATTTCCTAATCAAAGATGTGATTTACTAAAATAGTCATATCTAGACATCTAATCTCATGACAAAACAAATATATAGGCTACACATTATTTATAGTCAAATAGTCTAGGAACTATTAATCCTAAAACTAATAGTCCGTTGCATTACAATCCCTTATTATTCAGTCTATCTAAACAAATATGACTTAGCGTGTTGGAGTTGCTATGCTGATGCGCTTGTTAAATCATCTTCTTACTAATTAATTAATTTCATATAATAAATTATACAAGATTTTTACACTAATTAAAGATATGATTCGTACGGACAAATTAATATGTTAATTTGTTCAAAAGTCAAACATTTATAAGTAAGGTTAGAAACTCACATTTGATATTTTCAAATACATCTCTAATGATGTGGTAAAAAAAATAGAGTCCTCACATAATTATGTGAAAAATAAAAAATTGACACCTATCATTTCACATTATTCTAGGTGAAATTATGAAAATTTTATTAGGAGTTTCAAACATTTTTCTTAAAACATATGTGTTTTTTGAGGTCATTTTCTTTTCATTTATCCAATTTTATAACATTAGTAATATATTGTTCCATGCCATGTTGACTTTATCAAGTGTTGTAACTGATATAATGAGATTCTTATATATATAATATATGATGTAATGGGATTTGAAGAATGCCAATTTTTAATTTCAAGGATATATATATATATATATACGTGCCATCTCATATTCTTTGATGCCCCTTGTAATGAAGTTATAACACCAACCCATATATATAACATATAATACATAATGATGAAATACTTATCTCTATATATCAATCATGCTAATGGAAAATGGTTCTTAAATTAAGCATTAGGTTAGCTAACAAAAATCAACTTAGTTAATTTAATTGGTTATTCATGTACATTCTTAACTTGGAGGTTGGGGATTGATTATTGCTCATTCATCATTATGTCGTATTATATTGAGTTTATTTCCTCTCTATAAGCTTATTTTTTGTTGGTTATTGAGATTAATTTTTAGGTTTATAAATATATATTGTTAGATTCTAACTGTTTAATTTAGGGACATTTACATATAAATTCTAATTTATGAACTTATACTCCGTTAAATCTTAACTAAGATTTTTTTGACCTTAACATTGAAATTGCCTTTCAAACAATAAGTGTTCATCATTTATGATTATCTATAAAGAAATATAATAATTTGACATTTATTTTGATTTTCAAAACTTTAAAATATCAACTTTAAAATTAAAAAAAATTAGGTGCAAAACTAAACTAATGTTTTTTATTTTTTTGAAAAAAATTAAAAAAACTAAATTATTTTTTTATGCAAAATTAAAAATTTTGTGTCTATAAAGGAGCATGATGGTTGAACATTGATATGCAAAACTGGAAAAAAAAAATGAAAAATGAAAAAACTGATAATGCTCTTAGTTTTATTGGATAGTTGAATCAAACCAATAAGTAGAAGAGTAAAAATATTTAATCTGATACTCTATTTTTTTTCATCAGTTAATGAAACAATTATTTGGAACATTACTATTCAAAATTGATAATGTTATTCATTGTGTTTGGTTTCAGTTTTCTGAATTCAGTTTTTTGAAAACTGAGTTTTTTTTTTCGTGTTTTGTTATATTTAGTGAATACTTTTTAAATTTTAAACAATTTTTTTACTTTTTTATGTGCACCTTACTTAGATGTATCTAAATAGTAAAATATTTGTGAAAAATATTTTAAAAAATTAATAAATACACAAAAATACGGAAAATGTACCGAATTTTTATATATATATATATTTTGGTATTTAGTGTATTTTTTTTAAAAAAAAATTTCACAAATATTATACTTTTTAAGTGTATTTGTGTTAGGTGTGTCAAAAACTTAAAAACAATTGCTTAAAATATTAAAAAAATTCATTGAAAACATTAAAATACGAAAAATCAAAAAGTAGAATTTTCTAAAAACTGTTT